TCATTGACAACATTAACGACAACGACATCTACAGCATCAACGTCAACGTCAGTGACAACATCGACGTCAGTTACAACTTCAAGTAAGAATGTATCATTGATCTTGTGGTATAATAATCTTTTTTAAATATTTTTTTACCATCGACAACAAGTACTACTGCAAGTAAGATCGTCTTCGAGGACTTCGATCGGCTTCCAAAAACTATTGCTGATTATTTTGCATTCTATTTTAGCTACTGCTACGACGACGCTCATGCCTGGATCAATTGCCTTCTGGTCTCTTGATAACAATGGTCTTGATCTCTACAATAATTATAATGGTAATCCCGTGGGAAGTCCAACATATACGACTAGTTTTCTTGGATATGGTGCTGCTATTAATCTCGTTCGATCATCTTCTCAATATTTAAGTATCACATCGAGGCAACTCCTTATGAATTCATCGAGTTTTACAATCGAAGCATGGATTTATCCAATCAGTTTCACAGGTATTGACTATGGCATATTTGGTCAATGTCAAGCAACAACTACGAATCTTTGCTTGCATTTCATGGCTCGAAGTAACAAATTATATTGCGCCTTCTATTTTAACGATATACAAGGTGTAACGACGCTGACGATGAATGTCTGGACTCACGTTGCTTGCGTCTACAATGCGGCCACTCTCACTCAGCAAGTGTGGCTGAATGGTGTACTTGACGGCTCACGTACGGGATCATCTCTCTATCAAGGTTCGTCAGGTGCCACAACCATCGGTGCTACATTCAATCCAGGCAGTGCAGCTGCTTTCAATGGCTACATAGATCAAGTAAGCTACATAGCTCGAGCCAAGAATGATACCGAAATTTTGAACGATCCTACCTTGTATGTCTATTACCCATTCGATAGTGGTTCGCTTATTGATAGTGGCCCTAATGGCATTAATGGAACAGCGCCGGGAACTATAACGATTACAACAGGTAGAGTGAGCCAAGCCATTCAATTCAATTCAGGAGCCTATGTTAGTTACACATATGCTCCATTTTACTTTTTGGGTATCAACAATAATTCTTTCAGTATCTCTTTATGGGCGAGACCGACCGGAAGTTATGCGACTTCAACTCTTGTTTTCGTATACGCACCAGCAGGTTGGTGTGTCCACGTTTTAGTAATGTCATCAACTGGTAATATTAATGCGCGACTATGGAATAGTGGAGCTCTTGGTGTTAGTGGTCCTGTTCTAGCATTAAATAGTTGGACACATATCGGATATATATATAGTTCAACTAATGGTATTCGATTGTATATTAATGGTGCTCAATTTGTGACGACAGGTGCTTCTTCTTTTACGGCTTCTGGTTCTCCCATGTACATCGTACTTGGCAATGATGATGGGCGAACAAGTCTCTGCTCGCCGGGTTTTGGTGGTTCATTCAACGGTGCTATGGATGAATTTTATCTATACAGACGTGAATTGACCGCTTCACAAGTTTTAGCTTTGGCAAATCCTTGAACTAAAATTCGAAAGACAATATTCGATCGTTATTCCTATGACTTTGTATCATTGATTAAACGAAAAGATTAATAAATATGATTTAAAAAATAAAACACTTATTTTAAAGACTTTATTTGAAGGACATTTCTGGTGAAGTATGCGAATAGCAATTATCATTGTCATAAAATAATACTGCAGATGCTATGAAATCGTGCACTTTTGCTAAACGATTTTCCATAAGCCTGTTGTAGGCATGTTACACTGTACAATTTCTATGAGAAGAAATTCACATCACAGAAGAAGACAAAAAGCAAATGTTTAAATACGACACATGGTTTTTCTATGGTTTCACTCATACTCATGTTTAGAGATAATTAAGCACCAATAAATAAAACTACATGAAGAGAGATAGGCGTCATTTGACGAAGAGTTTTCACAGGAAATAGAAAAATAGATTAAAAGAAATCGCACTAAATCTCTTATTTAAACCAATTCTTCATCATCAATTTTATCTTTTTAGAAAACCAAAGATAGTAAGATTTGATAATGCAATCGAGTTTGTTTCTTTCGTCAAAACAACGCAATCTTACTAAATACCAAGTATATTCTAAAAGGTAAATGGCTTGAGTTCTTTGAAATATTTAGCGATGTCAATATACTCTTACATGGTCAATGAATCAGGTAATGATCAGTAGTGTCAAACTTGAAAGTTGAATTCAATTATTCAAGTTTTCAACTATTCAGCTATTCAAGTATTCAAATTTTCAATTAGTCAACGCCTTGAATGCTACCAGAATCCCCTAACATCAGCAGATATTGTCTGAAAAACTACTAGCTTCACCTGTTATGCTATACAATTCTCTAGAATGCTACAGATTTTGGTTGAGATGCTTCAGGCATTACCTGAGATGTTACAAGAAGTATTGAGAAGCTTGAGCTGCTGTGCAGCACTGAGTAGGAATAATGGTGTACACAGAGACGTGCATAGGTCGCGACGCTGAAATAAAAGGTGTGTTAGATGGGGAAAGGCGCTTTCCCACTGAATATCCGCAGAACACTTGAGAAGTTAAAATTTCAATAGTTGAATAATTGAATTCAAGTTTGAAGTATTACATATATGGAAGAGAACGGATCTCTCAGTAATTTTCTTGTTCTCTCCAATGTGGTCTACTCTATGTTGATGATCTTTTTTCGATCAGATGCACCGCTCGATTTTGTTCAAGTTTGAGAATATGAAAACAATGATGAGCCGATAAAAGTCGACAAGATTTGAATGACATGGTGTTTTATAAAACCAGTTGAAATGATGACTATGAATGATCTAAGATACTCTCTCTAAGAATATATGTTCTAGAGTGAGCTTTCTCAACGTTATTGAATGAAATGTTGAGAATGGAGACAGTAATCTGATAGAGAAAAGATAAATAACATCTCATCAAATGAACGTACAAAAAATTTACAGACATTGTAGAATTGATACCTTCTGCCGTATTTAATTCCTAATACCGATCATATTTTAGTGTTGTGCAAAGATATACTACCTAATGAAAGATAAAACATGATTGAAATTTTCTGAACATACAATTACAAAAAGCATTCGACATAAATTCTATAAAAGTAGTTTCGAGCTCGTTCACACATGTTTTAGCCGATAAAAAATGAATCGATATTCATACAGAAACTTTTACAACACCTGTTACTCGCCGATTAGATTAAATATCATATCTAGTTATAAGATTTTATTAATACTTGAAAAAATACAGGAAAAACATGACACGCTTACTTCTAACTACAAGAAAGGCAATATAATGCAGAATTATAGTTTTTCAGAGGATAAAACAGAATAATATAGTATAATGTCTTTATCAAATTAATAAAAGTTCACGGATTAGCAAGACTAGTAACGTCTGTTTGTGATAGTTCTCGATTGTAAATATAAAGTTCATCAATGTAACCCTGATAATATCCATTTACAGAACTTGAAGAACAACTAGTCAAATAACTTATGCAAAGATTTGCAAAAGTACCGCTAGTCCAGTATGATACAGTGCCAGTTGAACCAAAAAGAACTCCATTAACATACAATGTGTATCCATTTCCTGAACTATATGTCAATGAAATGTGTGTCCATGTATTTTGTGTTACAAATGGACCAGTCAACCGTAAAGAACTAACACTGTATACTATCAACTGTCCCGTTAATAAATTTGTTGACGAAATACCAAGTAAATTGTCACAACTCCCTGAATTAATAGTTGAATAAAACATTTGAATAATTGCGATATTACTGATTGATGATGGATTTATCCACATAGCCATTGAAAATGGTTTGAGACCAACAACGCCACAAGAAATTTGATAAAAACCATAAGCTCGAAAATAGGATGATGATGATCCAAGAAAACCCATTGCTTCATTGACACGTCCACTAGCTGTAACTATATTATTCGATGTTCCGTCTAATCCATTCGGACCATTGTCAACAGTTGGATTAGGTGAATCAAATGAATAGTAAGCCATTAAAGATGCATCACGTAAAATTTCTACTGAAGATTTTGCTCTTGTTGTCAATGCTACATTATCAATATAGCTAAGATAATAGTATGTGGTCGAATAAGCTCGAGCTGAACCAATATTGATACTTCCATTTTGTCCTTGATAAGGTTGTGCACTTGATTTGATAGCATCTTGAACTCCATTGAGATATAATATTTGTTGTCGTGTTTCATAATTATAAACAAATGCAATATGATACCAATAAGTAGTTGAAATAGCCGTCGAACCAGACAAATAATTCGATATGAAATCAACGTACAAGCGATTATTTCGCATAATTAAATATAAACATTGATTAGCACAAGTTGAACATTGACATTGACCAAATATTCCACGATCAGAGGTAGATGTTGAATAATAAATCCAAGCTTCAATTGTAAAA